AACAGAAAACTGCCCTGCGTTGGCGCCGACCAATCACAACATGACATTCTTTCCATTCTGATTGTATTACCCGGCAGATTTTAAAGTATTCCGTGCTGCTTACATTTTGGTCGTGCAATATTATAGATTATACTGAATTGTATTTTAAACCTAAAAAAATAACAATATACATATCGTGTGTTTTTGTTACATTATGACTTCCAAAATCGCAAGCAAATTGTTTTAATAACAATCTTAAATTAAACGATGTAGTAATCATTTCATTTTATATTTTTTTATTTCATTGAAAGCAAAGTTGCCTTTTGATATTTCATTGAAAGATTTGATCGCCACTAAAGAAATGTGGCCTCGCTTATTCCGTAAGAACGACAATGATGCAAGTTACAAGTGCGAAGTAATGACTTGAGATAAACAACGTGAAGGAGATATAATGCAAAAATGCCAATTACAGTTGATTTACTGCCTGCATTGCATTGTACGCACTATGTTTATCACGGAAGTGTACTTTGTACATTCACTCACTGTTAGTGTGAATTTAGGTGTTATATTGTAAGGTATACGATACTGCCTGGAGTGGTTTTTAATATGTAATTAATCTTATATTTATGTATAGGAATCCAAAACTAAGTCGTTTCTACAACATGAATCTTCAGTATTGTGCTCTTTTGTTTTTAAAGCTGTATGACCCGGATGTCCCGGCGAATCATTATTTTTTATGATCGGAAGAACATCAGCAACTTACAATATGTATAACACAGATGAGTAAGAAAAGCTTATAGGACAAAGAAGTATTTTGATTTTTTTTCAGAAAAAGAGCCATCTATTGGGTGACATGGTTTTTTCTAATCATATGTTCCACCAAAGACAAAGTTTATAATAAACCAGCAATGTTTATATATAAAAATAAATATATAGACAAAACCGTTTATAACGACATCGTTTACAACGACCTATCGGTTATTACAACCAGATTGTATGGTCCCGTCCAAATCCCTAGTAAACTATTCAGTAAACACACGGCTTATAACAACATCGGATACAGCGACATATCGCTTACAACGACGAAATTTTATCGATATTCATCGGCTGTCGTTATAGCTTCTTGTCTCAGCAAAACAAAAAAATACAAACGATTTTAAATCTTATTTATAAATTATAAGCATTGAATGAATATTTAGGCATATTATTACCTACGCACTTTCTCCCACTTCATCCGAACCTCTTCCCGGCCATTTGACCTTGCATACTTTACACATGTTTAGTTCGCTAATTGACTGCGTGAGTAACAGTTTGATTTAAAAGTGTTGGTGTTGTTTAGACTGTGCAATTGTGCATTTATGTCGCAAAAAAAAGAGAAAAGTGTTTTCTATTGAAGAAAAATCTCATGTCATACGGATAAATTAATGCAAAAAATATTTGAGACTGGGCTAAAAAAAAACGTACCAAAATGACTGATTACTTAATTGTACCTAATTATTTCGTAATAAATATTTTTGTTTCTTTTTTGACTCATTTACATATTATAATATTAACATACCATATTATAACCTACCTATTCTAGATAGATAACTATGATAATATGTACATACACAATATGTACTGTACTTGTGTATATGACATTCCTTATAACGACTATCGGATATACCGTCGGCAACTATACGGTCCCTTCAATGTCGTTATAAACGGTTTTGACTGTATATACTAAAATTCTGGCTAGAGTGGTATGTACACTGAGAAACAGCAATTCATGATATAATTTTATCTAAGCAAAAATTCAAGATTCAATCATTGCGATATTTTGCTAGAACTTATTTCACATCTTTACAATATAAATAATTGAGTATAAATAAGATTTTATAAATATCATATCGCTAGATAGCATTAAAACAACTCAGTATTAATAGTGTTTATTCATAATCAAGATCACATACTACTTACTACTAGATGGTGCTGTTCATAAATTTAGAGACATTGAATGAGAGGAAAAGGTAACCATAGGCGAGGAGGAAGTGATTTATTTGTAAATTAATAGTATTGATGTTAACTTTTAAAAATTTTAACATACAAAATCTTTTATCAATTAAATTTACTATTATAGTATTTATGATTCTTCGTGGTTCGTATAATATGAATTCCAATCCAAAAAAAGTTAATAAATAACATACAAAAACTTCAAACGGTCTGCTTTCGCAATATCAGTAGCCTGGGTGTGGCCATTTATGGTTTTTTATAAGCAATATAAACAACAGTCAGACACGAGCAAATGATAAAGCACATTTTTTGTCGACACTCTTGAAGCGCTCTTAATAGAAAACGCAGCGCTATCATAGTGGCAGACGTGGTCCTTAATATTCCTTATCGTATAATTTTCGCTATTAAAAAAGTCTGCCACATGAGCCAATCATATAGATATTTTGATCGCCAGATCCCTCGCTGGACGTTGACTACCAAGAAGCGAGGGCATTGATGTGTATCTTTTCCTAGCACTGTCATGGCGTCGCTTATTGTATCACGACTCACTCCTTTTGGGCCTAGGCTACCTAATAGCGGTACTGTCGACACGAACTGCCATTTTCATACAAATTTACTTTTCGATTTCTATACTAGACGTTAAGGCGTCTTGACTCAGCTCCCATGTCTAACGTGAAAACCGAAACTATGTATAGTAATTAATATAAAATATTTCTTATGTAGAATAATAAACAGATAGTGCCGTATCTATGCCACTCAGACCATGACCACTAGAATAATCTATGGCAAAATGTTCGCTGATGGGAAGGAAGTCAAGTTAGTAAACAAATTGGAGTTCATTTAAAACTACCAAATAGTGGTTTTATAATTTATTAGGTATATGTAGTGTATAATTAAATGCGTATCTACAAAAAATACCAATGCAGTACTACTTTTATTTCTTATACTAGCTTCTTAGGGCTAAAAGTTAAATATTTCTTAGTTACTTCTAATAACACGACAAAAATTAAATATTAGGAACGCATACACATATTTTCACACTAGCAAGACTAGACACAGGTAAGTACAAACTCAACAATAACAAGAAAATAAAATAAATTTTATAAAAATAAATAACCTGTTGACCTGTTTAAGCCTAATTGTGATATACCATTACATTAGAAATAAATTATAATAACAAATTCAGCTTAAAACCGTGAAAAAAAAACTCTACTCGGAGATCAATGTCATACACAATTAAACTAAAACACACATACCACTCTTTGGTTCATGCATACTTTTGATGTGCTCCTTTTATTTGCCTCAAAAACAAATCTGATACTGCATATTTCTGTTTAGTAAAATCTACCACCATTTATTTAATTTTAAATCAGTTCACGGTATACCCCCAACTAACTTCTACCTATGGTCCAATACAAAATTCTAAATACCCTTCTATAAGCTCTATGTTCCTACCCTCTGAAACTACTCTTATAATTAACAGATCTTACTAATGTTTCTAAGTCTCTATAAATATTTATCCTCCTTATTCTTAACGTGAAAAAGCTAAATTTAATATTGCTCTACATTGAGTTTGACAAAGTATTAAATGATTATGTGAAATGTCATATTCGGATTATTAATACTGGTAGCATTGCCACAGATTACAATTTATATCTCTTATTCAGGAAAACTAAATCAGTTTTGTACTACTAAAGAAATAATCAAATATCACACGGCGTAAACGGTATTTGAACATAGAAAATAATTTATTTAAAATCAAATAATTGGAATAAAGTTTAATAAACTTATATATTGAAAATTTTAATTTATGTTATAAAAGCAAAAATGTGTAACTGGCACATAACAATAAAGATATAAATAGCTTCTCATTTAAATACTTTAGCAATGATATTATTTTAAAATTTGGTCTGAGAAACTATAGTATAAACTCTTATTATAAAAAAAACAAAAACGTGTGGCACTGACTGCCGTGGTAAGGCTATTGCATATTTTCTTTTTCAACTTATACAATTATAATTATTTATTTATGCAGTAGTTTTATTTTTTATTTTTATTTGATATTAATTCAAGTTTTTTCTTGGATAAATTAATTCAATCTACCACTCTACCAGACTCAGACTAACTCGCCTATATAGTCTGTCTCACTCTAACGCGCACCGGCTGCACCGATCTCGTAAGAGAGATGTGAATACGCAGTATGCGTTCTGTCCCGCTCTAGCGCGTAAGGTTTTGTTCGTTACGGAATTTCTGGATTCGGTCTCCACGCTCGAGGCCTGCGATAGAAGCTATGCAATAGCTTAAAAACATTTAATAACGGTTTTATAAAAGGAAGGTTTAAGTCCAAAGTTAGAATTCTTTGACGTCCTGGTGACCTGTTAACCTAAACTACCATTAAAATACTGATAATTAACTTTAAGATGTAATAGGGATGAGTAACATTGTAGCGCGCGTAGTTAACAATTATCGCATGATCTACCATTTTTCGCTTTGACAATTTACTTTCGAAAAGTAATTTTGTTTATTTTTACTTGTGAATAAAGCCTTTCCTCGTATCACGTTTTTTAAGATTATAATTTTGAATCAACTGTTTTAACGTAAACATAAAAACAAGTGGCAACTGTCAAACGTCAACAACCATGTGTCAAATTTTGAGATTAGAGAGCAAGTAATTTTGTTAAGTTAGCCATCCCTAGTCTCGAACATTGTAACTAGCTTAAAATATACAATAAATTCGTTATAATACTGACATTTATCTTTTTTATAAACGCAACCAAGCAAGGAATCACCGGAAATAGGTGACTGTCGTGGCTGGTGGATGTGTTGCCGGCTTTTTAGGCAAGATTCACAAACTTAATTCTAAAAAGAGAAAACTTTTTTAACAAGATTCGGTATCATATAATATGGGTCCTATATCAAAATAGAACAGTCAATTATAAATGTCGACTTTTACGTAGCTCTTAATTGTGGTCTCACCAATTTTAATAAGTTCCAATTATTTCAAGTCCAATGTTTTGTCTTAAATAGCATCAATCCGGGACGATCCAATTATTGTAGACGTGTTGCCAGTCGATATGTTTAAAGTAGGGATGTTCCTTTATTTCGTTTATACCATCTTTACCGCCGCCGAGACGCTCCGAAGGCTCGTATGTTAGGAGCTGAAATCGTGAATTTTTAATAGAAAATGATTTAGACAACATTTATTTTTTCAAATTTCGAACATCTTTAAAATTTCTTTAAAACCATAGCGTAAAAATAAGAGCAATTTCTTTATAAAAAAGTAGGTCATAAAATAATTGTCTAGCATAAGTTGATATGTCGATATATACATATGTGTATTAATTTCAACGAAATTTTTGAAATTTAAATGAGTTTTGTATATTTTTTTACGAAAGTAGTTGATCAACTTTTTATGCATTCCAACCCGATTTTTTACCAAGGTAGGGAAAATATTGTATGTAATTATCACCTACCTGAGTGAGCAGAGATTCCACCTCAACACTGAGACCTTCGGGAAGCTGTAAGATTGTATGGCTCGTGAACGTTGACTTGTGGTACTCTGATAAAGGCTGAAAAGTTAATTTCTTGATACAAACGAATATAGGAAATAATGAACAAACATAAAATTCTTCACATGTGAAGTCAATCGGAAACCATTTTTCTCGAGTGCAATATTGAATACATAAAATAATGGCATTGATAACGTTAATAGTAAATATCTCTATGAAAAGACTCGTATTTTTATAGTAATTGATGATTTCTCAAAATTAGTGTTTGTATGGCCTTAACTTGAATACGTTCTCACTCCTTAATGAATAAAGTGATAAATACATTTTGATATATCGAACCAATAGGTTATTAAATAAAATAGAATCTCCAAAAACACATAACACAACATAAAGCAGTCCGTATTAAAAAAATATTACAAAACTTACCACTCCACAAATAAGCTCATACACGATCGCCCCAAAGCTCCAATAATCACAAACTTTGTCCAATCCATCCTCTTCCATATAAACATGAGTATATAACTCCGGGGCAATGTATATACTCCAAGGAGACCGCCGGATTTGGGATAATGCCATATCCATACCGGAGTGGTGGATGAAGTATGTCAAAATGATCTGACCACCATCAGATAAGAGGACGTTTGATGGATTTAAGTCACTGGAAGATTTTAAATAAAATTATTTAATCACAAAAGACGCGAACTTCTTTCAACACACGCAGAAATAATAACAAATCGCGAATGTAGATGGCGCTCAAAAAATATTAGTTTAATGTATCATTAATCATTGAAATTCAAAAAGAAATAATAAAATATTTTATATACCTACACTTGAAAAATCTAAGAAGTATTAAGAATTATTGTCATTGTGATACTCTTATAAATAGATAATAATATAATAATATTTATAAGAGTACAAAATTATTATTATTTAAATAGATAAAAATTATAAATTATTAAACTTACCGGCAAATAACACCAGCGTTGTGTAAACTTTCTAACGCAGTCAGTATTTCCGCTCCCCACATACATATTGTTGAAGGTGGAAGCACGTCACGGGGCGATTTTGATAACTGAAATTATTAATAGTAAATAAACTGTTTTGCTTCACATAAAACGTATACTAGACACATTTCAGTTTTAAAAACTTTTAATCTACTATATCTGTTATTTAATACGCTCTTAAAGTTCGGAACCTCAAATTTAAGTTTGTTTGCTTCAATATTTACATATTTTAAACAACAGATTTGTTCCCGTTACACTATTTGATGATTTGTAAGTAATTATTAATTTTATAAGTATTTAAAGCAGATAATAACTTTATGTCGATAAAGCTTAGGTTTCCTAGAAAAGCGGTGCCGTTATCTAACGGCCGTAATGTAACGTTGGATGACGTCACCCATACGTTGTCTATAAAGAACATCGGAGTAATTTTTCTAGAGAACGTTGAGTGTCACCGTAACGTCAAATAGCGGTGCTTTTTATTTGCATGACGGCCGTTATAGCGGTGATAAACATTAGTTCAACGTTTTTCGCGTGTAGCGGTGCCATATTTAATTAATTGTGAGTGGAAACGTGACTTGGACGAGCGAAATTGATTGTTTTATTGTATTATGTTAAAAAGTAAAGACGGCCGTTATTAACATCCGAAAAATGACGGCCGTTAGTTAACGGCACCGCTTTTCTAGGAAACCTAAGCTTAATATCATAAACGTATAAACGAAGATCTAATATAAACAATATCATGTATCAAATCTAGGCAATTGATTACGTATTTTTTTTACAGGGCAGGAGCTTCACCTGACACTGAACTCTGAAAGCTCGCGATGCGATTGCCGGCTTTATAAGTGCGTACTGGTATTGTATTTCAAAAATTTATACAAGTAAAACCTTAACTCACCTTAACACTAGGACTAGGCACATCACTATTCTCGTTCTTCACATCACTATCACCCTTCTCTGTCAACGCTTTATCAACGTCTAACAACAACTTCTGAGAACTAGTAACCAATTCCTTAACCGACAATTCTTCATTTCGATTCACATCTGTTGGAACATCATTCTCGGAATGTGTTTCTTTGGGGAAGACATTTTCTAAATTCACTCTCCTTGGTGTGTTTGGGACGGATTTTGCATAGTTCTTGATATAATCGAATAGTTTCTGTCCAGGCGCGTATGATAGTATGAGAAAAATTAAGTTATTTGTGTCTATATAGGCGTGAAGGGGCACCATATACGGTATGAGCGTTGGTAGAATTGGTTCTCTTGTGTCGTGAGTGCGTTGGAAGTAATTGTCAAATTCTGTTAGATTTTGTGGGACTTTTTGAATGACCTGAAATAGAAAATTCACAATCCATACGTAAACATCATTTTATTTTCTCATATTAATACTATGATTAAATCAAATACTTTACAAGAGTAGTCGGAGTATTACCAAATACATAATTATTAATAATTTACAATCCTTTTTTGTATTAATGCTCGCTACTTGTATATAATTTAATTTCTTTCAAGCTATATAAAACATAAAATTCGGTAATTAATCTAAAGAAAATCAAAATTTAATTTTTAGGTCTGGGCCTCAGATTTCTGAATCTGATCATTTGTCAATCTAATAGGCAAGTAGGTGATCAGCCTCCTGTGCCTGACACACGCCGTCGACATTTTTGGGTCTAAGGCAAGCCGGAATGTTAATGTTAAATGCGCACATAGAAAGTCCAATTCTAAGTCCATTGGTGCACCGTCAAGGATCGAACCTACGACCCCAGGGCCAATACTGCTCCCAAAAAATAAAAAATCTTAGAAAAAACTATCTCGCTCTATTACTAGAAGTGTGACATACCTTCATGGCGTAGCAAGTTTGCTCAGTCTTATGCAGTACCAACATCATTGTATTACCAAGAACTGCCAGTACGCGATACATTGCCAATTCTTCATACGGTCGCCGAAGCATTGATAGGGGAATCCCGCAATGGATGGATTTTGGAGTGTCTATCTCTCGCTCTGGTAATAGCTATAGAAGCGAAACATATATTTTACTTTGTTCCTATAATCAATGTTTTTTATATATCAGATAAAAAGTTGTTTAAAGTAAATAATCTTACACTTTGTTCTGCGCCGCTCAAATGATTCTTATAAATATCTTCGGCATACGATAGATATTTATTTGTTTTTTCTTTTATCAACGCCCGCCTTTCCGGATCCGAATCAGCTGTAATGTATAACATTTTGAATTACTACAATTAGTAAAATCTAGAACTATAGTACGAATGTACAACTTTTTTTGAAGATGACCTTCTATTTCTGACAAGTATCGTGAATTTTAAGGTCTAAGGGTCAGTTTGAGAGACAAAAACGTACAGAATATGAAGTACGTTATAGCCGTAAGAAACACCGATTTTCTCACGTAAATGATGTGCATATGTGTGCACAGTTCACTCCAGTAACTCCATTGGTACCGGGATTCGATTGAACTCAAGATTGTAAGTAAACGCTTAACCAATAAAAAAAATGTGAGCCGTCACGGGACGCCTGGCAGAGAACATCGACATTATTTTGTAAAAGTAATATGCAGAAAAGAACAGATTGGGATAGGAACTAACGTTCGTCGAACGTTTAATCAGTGACTTCGAAATACGCACACCGTACACACTACTGCATATAGACTGTATATATATTATATAAACCATCATATAGCGTCGCCACGCCAGAAATCGGTTTTACGTGCTATAGATGTTTCTCATGAATAAAAAACTTCTTTTAGCTGTAAGAACGCTCATTAGCATCCATTGTTACTTTTTTTTTTGTTCATTTCATCTCCTATTGTGATATTATGATGTAGTGTTATTATAATAATCATAAAACTTTATTCATAACAAAATATGGTTGAAACTAAATTGATCTAACGCTAGACAACACTAGGGGAGCCCTTTTTTTTTTTTTTTTTAAAGACAATTCACACCAATTGACCTAGTCCCATGCTAAGCTGGTGAAGCTTGTGTTATGGGTACTAGGCAACGGATATACATACATATTATAGATAGACATATAAATACATATTTAGGTTTAGGTTTAAGAATAACTTTATTTCTCATAAGAATTGAAAATTCACTTACTGAGAAACACATATTTAAAACTAAGATTAAAAATTAGAGCGCACAGATGTAGGTACATATATAAAATAAGAAAATAGAACAGCACCAAAAATGTGGGTAGACATAAAAAACTTGGTCAGTCAACCAAGCGAAACACGGATGTTAGAATTTAATTTTTTTCTAGATGTGGCATTGATGGCATAGTCTGATATAACAAGTTTATATTGATTATTTTATTATTTAAACATCCAAGACCTAAGCACAACACCAAATACTCATCGCATCGATGTTTATCTCAGCCGGGGATCGAACCCGGGACCCATGTATAGTCAGGGGTACTAACCACTAGACCAATGAGTCGTCCTTGTGTTGAGGGTGACTAGATTATAATTCCCCCGAGGTGTATGTTTGAAACTCAAGGAATATAAGTATGGTTAGCTATGGTTTAATTTATTCTCTAATTAAGATTAGCTCTAATTTTTTTGTACTTTACTACAATATCAGCTACTATACAATGGAATATTATTTTTTAACAAAAAACTTGAAAGCAAATAAACTTAGATAGGTGTCTAATCGTTTCAATCAAATGATAGCCAATTTGATTAGAATGATCTTTAGATAGTATTATTAAGTAAATACTTACATTTCTGGTTCACTTGTTTTTGAAAAAAAGAATTTAAATATACAAAATCCATTGTTATTTTTTTTATTGAAAACAATAAGTTAATAGATAGACCGCCATTGATTTTATTAGCTAAATAAGGTTTATGAGTATTGAATATGTGAAATGCTTCTCTTTACACGGAGCTTTGTTATTCATTTAATTTGAATTTGTTTAATTATTAAAGCTTTAAATAAATTTAACACTTAAAAATCTTAGCAAAATCGTCACTAGCATTTTTTTTTTTGTTAAGTTTTATGATCACGTATACTGAGTTCTACGAATGTATCAATACTAAATGTTAATGATATTGATAACATATCATTGTCATTACTGTGGTATTATCAGAGATTTAAATCATAGATGTGCCCTCGCCATACTTAGGGCCAATGTGTCATTGATGGAGCTTACACATAGTATCTCATTAAAGAAGATAAGTGTGTACAAAGTTCAATCACAAATAGTTCTAAGAAGGGATATCACACTATACAGCAGTGATGGCTTCAAAAAAAAACAAAAACATTTATTCATATAGGTGACACATAGTACACTTATGAACGTCAAAAAAGAAATATATATTAAATTCTTCTAATTTTACATTAACTGCCAGTTCTCCAATCAAGGAAGAGAAGAACTGGCAATAAACTCTCCGCCACTCTTTTCAGCGTGCGACTCTCATACATGAGGTCGAAGGTTCGGTTCCGGCTGTGCAACAATGAGCTTTCTGTATATTGTGTGTACTCGCTCGTACGCTGAAGGAAAATATTATTAGGAAACCGGCATGCTTTATACACAGAAATGTCATGTGTCACAGATGGCTGACAACTTACTTGCCTATTAGAGAAAAACAAATGATCACGAAACAGATGCCAGAAATCTCAGGCCCAGAACTAAAAGGGGCCTAGCGGCACTCTTTTTAATAAATGTTAATAACAAGTAATAATTCGACACGAATATCGCGATACAGCATCTTAGGCTCGAACGTAACCATAATTTTCGTCACGTACGGTAATTAAGTTTTTGACAGCTCGAAGTTTTACACATGTGTATTCCAATTTCCAATGAAGCATGTTCGTCCTCCCGTTAAGTTCCAAATACGCTAAGAAAGCGCTTCATAAGTTTATATACAAAAATGCATCGTTACTTTTCTTTTAAAAGAAATGTTTGTTACATAAATCCCAATATTTTTGGTCCTAGTCGATTTTATAGAACAACAAAGAGTGACGTATCTATGATTTTATTCTTTGTTTAAATACTCTTGGAATATCAGTTTGCGGTTAAACAAGATACATGATAGGATTACTTTATATTAGTACTCCCAACTTCCCAGTTATGGGGAATATTGGTTAGGACCGACAGCTTAGCATTAGCATTGAAGTTGTTGCGTCAGAAAAAAGAATGGCTTCCTAAGTGACATATTTTCTACCCGAGACCAAATTCTTTATGAGTTTAAAAAAAACAATTTTTTTTTAAATTAAGGAATCTTGCTAGTTGCTACATTCAACAATATTATAAAAAAGTATAAATTTGAGTTTGTATTACATATGTTTTAAGTAATATTTGTACATTATTGATGATGGTATCATTTATATGAATGTCCATGGCACATCTAGAAATTATTATATTTAACCTTAAATTAATTAGGTCACTTTATAAAGATAATATGTATTATTAAATATTCTAGCGTTATTGAGAAATGGCTAATAAACTAATCTAGGCACAAAAAGATATGCTATGTGATATTTTCATAACGTTTTTTGTCAAAGTAACGGTCAAAACATTTGAACAAACTCCTAATACATTGTCAGGCAACAGTTTTTAATCCGCTTTAACTTACACTTACCACGAATTTCGGCTTTAAACTTATTAATATTAACAAAGACTTTAGGAAAGGCTGGTGCTGTTAAGTTTGTACTTACATTGTACACCAATAAGCATCTTCTCAATGCCAGATTTGTAGAACTCGAATGCCCTTTGATATTCACCCAAATCTTCACTTCTCGCCGCCAAATTTAATAAATACCCAGCTTCGAATACATAACTATCCTCTGTCTTTGTTTTACATTCCATACCAGACAGGGACAAAACACTATATGACGAATTGCGCCGTGTTCTTTCGAACCCAATCGATCGCAACGAAGCCGTGTCATATTTACTCATTGTTTCTGTATTTTGTGAGATCCCTAGATTTCTAGATTCTTTAACGACTCCGTCCACCTCTGATATCATAGAAGAATTAATCGACATCGTATCGACACTCGATCCATCGAATCGTTTTGGCATTGTGTGATAATCATCGAATTTGGACGTGGATGGCGCATCAAAATTTATTAAATCGGGCAACACATTCTTCTTAACAAGGGGCTTGATTTGGTTTATAGTAACTTTACTCAGTTCATCGTATAGATCACTGGAAATACTATCGAGTGAGTTAAGTGACTCAAAACTGTTTGAATTCGAATCGGTTTTTCGACTCGATTCTCGCAATTCCACATCAGCGGCTTCATAAATTGGTATTTGTGATATGTCAGTTGGTATACTCGAATGTACTGGACTTGTTGTTGATGATTGAAGATTTTTATCTAAAATTAATTAATATAACGCTTTGTTAAACATATATTCGAAACAATCAGGAACAATGGAAGAATTGTATGTTTATGCAACTGGCAAAGATTTAATTATGATGCTCGTAAAGATTAAGGAAAACTTACTAGTTTTTCCTTGGATAGCAATCGTAGGTAAAACTCAGTAAGAAATTCCAAGCAAAGATAGATTATTGTTAAGTTCAAATATTTTAAAAGTAATTGATATTCCTAAAATGTTATTATCTTTAATTTCAATGATTGTTAAAAAGTGGAATCTCACATATAAAAATATAACCAGTATAGTTATATAATTTACTAATATTTAGTTTCTTACTCTCTGGACTCTTGGTATCATCATCAGATGTCTGATACTCAAGTGGAGGTGCATCTTCAATAGGCAGCTGGAGAGAAGATCTAATTGCATTTATAACTCCCTTTGGCTCTGGATCAGGGTAGCCAGACTAAAAATTTAAATATTATATTAATACATAATCCCAGTCAATGGAGGATAGGTCAGAACCAGTCAAATTTGAAATTTTGTTTAATTTTTTTCCTTAAAAATAGTCAGCCTTTTATGTTTTTTTATAAGTTCCTCTGAAGACAGGGCACATTGTAATATGGAAATCATTTTTAAGTTAAGAAAAGACAATTTTAAACAAAAAGATATTGAGTTAATTAACCAACAAAATAATGTTCAACATACCTGAAGAAAATTTACAAAATCTGTACTTGTAAAAAGCAGTTTATGTTCTGCCACAAACTCCAATAGTTCTTTTATTGATTTTGCTCTTTCTTCTATCACCTGAAATTGATAATTTAAAAATGAAAACAACATCTGTTATAGATCCTTTGTTTGAATTCTTTCAACATGATTTGGTTACAGAGCAATATATTAAATCTCATTAAAAAAATAAATAAACTTTATCATACAAGCAAGTGTTATATGTGCATTTATAAAGATTATAAACTATCCAGCTGGGATTTGTACAATGAACGTGTTATGTTAAAACCTAGTGATTTTTTTATAAGCTTTTATTAAATATATTTTAAATAAATGTATTTAAGAAACCACCTCTTGTTGAAATCGTTTAAAGAAACTACTTTTAGCCAGAGGTGGAAATGTTCCTCGTAAGTATAACCCAGCATGTAATGTCTTCATACTCTTGTGTAATTGCTGAATATCGCTGTACCTTTTCCATACAGATACTACTGTCACTGCTTCAGGGGAATCTATAGGGAAAAGCTGAAAATAAACAAAACAATAAATCTTTTGCTAAGGATATTTGGAGTCGAATTTTAACCTTTTATTCCTTTTAATTCCACAACAAAAATCCAATAACTGATCAGCTAGTTACTGTACAGTTTATTAGAATATACCAAAACAACCAACTATTTTCCTAGCCCATTTTTATTTTATACTATGGTTATTTTTTTAAATAGGAAGCTAATTCTAAACAATAGAAATCAGAAACATTAAAAAAAAATTTATACACAAAGGTCACCAAAAACACAGGTATATTTTAAGATGAAAGTTTTATTGTTATGTGTACATGAATTTAAGTATATGATGACACTTAAATAAGATTGTGAAATAACAACATGATTAATTTAAAATAAACTAAATGGAGGACATTGCCGTAAACTTAAATGTCATATATTGAAAGCGGTATTGAAGTAACTTTTACTTTTACTAACAGTAAGTAGTACTTAAACAAAATATACATATAATTAAATACAATTCTTTTTGTTTAAAACTTTTTTAAGAAATAACCAACATACCATTCGACAAACTAAATATACAAGCTAATGCTTCATGATTAATTATTTAAAATATATAACAGTACTTACAACAGATGTTATTTTATAAATAGTAAAACCACTTTTATGTTTTGCGGTTTCGTCGACTGAGAACCGCCGCACCCATTTATCTCTGGTAGACATGGTATTAACATATATAAACACTTATTGACAGTTTATTCTAAGGTTAATAAAAACGCCAGTTGAAAGTAAACTGGGAGAAACGACATATTTAACTCAAAAATCGTAATTCGTAAATTAAAATATGAAGTTGTGACTGCAATGCAAACAGCAATTTAATGCTGACAACAGCCGACAAATTCGAAACTCAAGTTTTGACAACAAACATTGATGGCTGACACTGACACATGATGTGTAACGATAATTGACAAAATGTCATTATCCTGTGCAGAAAGAGTACCGGCATGCCTGATGCCGATTGCCGTGCATAGTAAATATTATATTATTAATAATACGATTTGCTACGCGTAATTATATAAAGTGCAAAAAATTATACACTTCTAATTTTTTTCATATTGATTATCAAGATGATTACTTTCTAACTATATTTACGTGTTGTTGTTGTTACAACAACAAGAAAAACTTTAAATTTATGGATAAAGAATAATTATTCACATCTAAATGCGTCAATAATAGTTTAATTATCTCATGAGTTTTAGTATACAAAACGCTATTTTTTATTTGCTTCCTTAATTTTTTGAATCTTAGACTATTCATAAAATTTAAGGAGTATAACCGAAAAAAAAAGTGCGTGCGTACAAAGTACACATGTCAGAAGTGAAACTTCTTTGGCAAACTAATTTTAAGTCATGTTTATATTAAATATAGTATAAGTATATAAATTTTATACAAATCTAAAACTTTAGATTTCCAAGACTTGGAGGAAGGGAAAAAGGAAGATATGTTAGGAATTTAATGAATTTAATGTCATTAAAATATTAAGTGTCGAAAATTAATACAAATAATAAATTAAATTTTTGTAGTGAAACTTCTATAGGCGCATGAAGGTAATTTTTTTAAAAAACGTCTCGAAGATGTCTCGCTTTGTTTATAAAGTTTGTGTTTTTTTATTTATTTGAGATTTCAATAAATTATTTTGTATAAATACTAATATTTATAAATCCTCTTTACGAAATTTTAATTTTAAAAATAGAAATTCTATAAGGTAATTCACCCTTCTCACTCTCTCTCAATCAGTCTCAATCGCTCTCTCCCTTTTCTTCGACATAAACGCTGCACATCTTTGTGACGTTTTTTAAAAAAATTACCCTCATGCGCCTAAAGAAGTTTCACTTCAAAAACGTGATAATTGAATTAATAATTATTCCTTTGAATGAATATCATCATAAGATTTCGTAAAAACCAATCCTATATTCTGTACTTACAACAAAACATTTTGTAATACTGTCATATGTATTCAATTTGTTTTGTTATTTGTCTTGTTTGAACACAGAAACGAAACACAATTTTTTAATGGAGTTTACTTTGGGGATTTAGTATATTGCATTAAAAAAATATGTTAAGTCTAATAAAATCCAAAGTTAAAACCATAAATTATTTTATTTTTGCAATGCTGTATAATGAAACTTTTCCGTTATTTCTAAGAATATTAATACGATTATTATTATAGTATTTTACTCATATTTCCGAAGAGTTTTTAGGTCCAAGTTATAAAAGGTGTATAAATTGATCATTAAACATTGATCGACATAAGCCAGTATCTTGCTCACCTCGTGGCTCGTACTTCGTAGTTCGTAATCGTGAGTCGCGGCTCACAGCTCACGACTTGTGAACTTGTGGACGGTTGGTGGGAGTGGAATTTTAGTTGTCGGTCTGTTTAGTGTTGTGGAGTTTAGACTGCGCTTAGTGCGTTGAGCGTCGTGTTTAAGCGTACTTTATTTTTAAGTTACTCTTTACTTCTAACATGTGCAAAGATAAATAAGATTAAAAATTTGAAGAATGTGCTCATAGTGTTGTGTTAATTAAGTTAAACTATCGATATGGGTTCAAAAATTGAATACGTGGATTCGTCACATTTGTACGCCACAAATTACGTTCGTAATTCGAAAGCTATAGGTGTGCTTTGGGCAATATTCACAATTTGCTATGCGATTATCAGCGTTGTGGCATTCGTGACGCCAGAATGGATTGGCGATCTTGAGACTGAATACCCTAGAAAGTTTGGTTTGTGGCAGATTTGTAGAACAGACGAGGTCAGCGAGGATTGTAAAGGGAGGCTGGACGAGTTTATGTCAATAAATGGATTTGTTTTCAAAGTGACTACAGTGCTAGTGGCAGTAGCGGTAGCACTCGCTTTGTTTACAATTTGTTCGTTACTCCTGTTTTTCTTTTGTCAATCAACCACCGTCTTTCACATTTGCGGCTGGTTACAGTTGTTATCAGGTCAGTAAACTCATAATTTTCCCTCACCTTTACTAAATATCCAAACACTAACATTAGTAATCTAATAACCTAAGCAAATGTGTATACGAAAACAATTTGTACCTATAATTAATTTCGCGTAAAATAAGTTTTAAACAGACTTTTACCTCTACAATTAAATTACTACGCAGTTAGGAATTTTAGTTTTACCTTCGTTTAATTAGAGGTTAACTTAAACGGTTATTAAATAGAGATTAACACTAATTGCCTTCTTAATTCTTATTATAATTAACGGCCTTTAGATTCTTGTTAAGCTTAATATTAGTAAATGTCCTAATGGTTTTGATCCTAATGGCTTCGGTTAGTGTTAGAAGATAAGACAGTATTTACTGATATTGTAGAAGTGTTATAATATGATAATTGATTCATAAAATATTACTTTCCAAGGGAAAAATATTGAACCGGTTGCAGTAAGCCGGCAGGTGCAACATCCTGCGCAAACGCTTGCAAAACTTATTCTTACCTGCTCTCTATATCCGTTACAATACGTTGCTAGACCTTTATTAACTGCAGGATGTTAACGCTATTTTCTTATGATTACGTTTTTTACGTTATTCTTTTAACATCGCGTACAGAAAATCGATAGTGAAAAATCAAATCGAACTTATTCAAATGATAAAATTCATACATAATAATAGGCAGCCCTGAAACTTGGAGACACAGGTTTAGATAATAACTTTCGTAAACATTTTCGTAAGATTTGAAACGTTTTGTAAAATAATTTTATTCACGTTATTGAGGTGGTACAAGTTATATATATATAAAATAATTTTAGTAAGTTTTTGCTACTGAGTGTCATAAGAAAATAGTTTCCGGTCATGGTCACGTCGGATTTCCGTCTTAGTTACGCTGAGGGGATTATACCTTGCGTCGACCGTCTTACTAATAATAAAATCAACAAACTTATTCCACTAAATGTCGCTATTAAATTGACATGTATTATCGCTATAGATTTATACATATACATATACTAGCCGTTTCGCGCCCGCTTTGCTGGACGAATTAAAATAAATTTTATGTTTCATTATTTTTTTTTTTTCATATTTTTATTATTCTTCTTTTTAACTTCCCGCTAAGAAAATTGAAATATTTCGAAAATCGAGTTTTTAACAGATGTTGACGTTTAGAGGTTCTAGGAAGCCTCCCCGAATGTTTCCGCGGTGAAGTCCGTATGGATAAATTTTCATAAAAGTAAAACAGCAATAAAAAAACGAAGGAACGTTGGAAAAATTTCGCATCGAATGGTGGTAGTTTCATGTCGATACGATCAGTGGTTTAGGCGTGAAGGAGCCTCAAACGAAGACCATTTTTCTTTTATATATATAGATACCTTTTGAAAGCACTATGCCAATCCAAAAGTGGAATTATGTGTTATAAGTACACAGTACTTGTACACTTTTATAAAAATCTGAGCGCTAGCGTATTCAATTAATTAAATATAACCTATTTTAAAAACTATACTATACTATTTTTATTGTACTTGTTGTATTCTACTATCTTTATGTACATATATCCTTTATGTCTAAGTATCAGTCACAAACAATGGTGAATCCGGTTAGACGTACGACCCATGCACCGCTATATGACCGTAAAAAACTGCGTGTACCACATCACTGTGTTAATTGAAATTACTTTTTCTTGTGTGCCGTATGTGACCTACCTAGATAATGCCCCGTAATACCCGATATACTTGCACAGATTATTCATTCAATAAATGATTACTAAAATCTAATGAACAAGTACGTGATTTATAAGAGAAAAATACTTTGAAATTCAAAACTATTTTATAGAGTTTTAGCAATAAACAATAATTATTAACGGCAGTCATTTTTCGTTCACTTTCACATTAATTTAGATAAGATTCATCTTTTATTTCAATTTCACGGACTTGTTATTATTTGCAATGCTTCATTGCACTAAAACTGTTTCGAAATTATTACGAAATTGCTTAGTCTCGTTTCTGAATTACCCTTAGAATCATTCAATTTAATTCTAAAAGTTTAGAAGCAGGAAAAATTATTGTATTAATACTTAATCATAGAAAAGTTATGTAAGCTGTTTGGGCGCGTTTCGTTATAATAATTTTTAAATTAAGAAAGATATGAATCGTTGATGTAAAGCTTAGGCTATGTTCAGATGGCAAAAACTTGACGCGCGTTTTCAAATCGCACATGTACGCGCGTCAACGCGGCGCTCAGAGAAAAAGTCTCTAGACGCAGGTGATCGCGCGTTGACGCGCGCTTTGATATTAATGTAATGTCCGTTTGCTGTTCAGATGAGCGCGCGCTTTCATCGCGATCGCATGTAATTTTATTAATTTTCGTAATTATATTTTGTTCTCGCTTTTAAAATGAGTGAAATTGAAGATATTGACATCGACTTACTAATCGATGAAGTAGAAAAAAGGTCAGCAAGTTGGAATATAGCAAATTTGTATAAAAAATATAATATAAATTGTATTTTTTTTTCAAAATTGGATAAACCCAATGTGTACGTTTTCTTTTTCTATATTTTTCTTTATAATATAACCACAAAATAATAGCCTCTTCCACGTCCATTTTCTACGTTCTACCGAACTAGACTGACGAGTACTCTCGCAACGCGCGTTAGCGCTCATCATCTGAACGCTCTTCAAATTTGATCGCGCGTTGACGCGCGTTAACGCGCGTTACATGTGAACATAGCCTTAAATTTTCTCATTCCTAATTGATTTGTCCTAGCATTTCTAAGCCCTGTAGAATTTGTTAGCGTTTCCACTTAACGCTGTTACGAGAATTATACTTTCTATAAAGTAGCCTCATTTGTAGGTTCAACGAATTTACTTAGTTAAAAATCTTTTAGTATATAAATATGTAATAAATTAAATATAATTTATTCAATTTCTTATTTTAACCACGACATTTTATTGCAACTCGTATTATTATTCGTAAAGGACATATGGTAAACAACTGCAGATTTACTAGACCCACTTTTAATTAATACAATCCGGTTGCATTAATCGAATTTAAGTGCATTTATACGATCAAGGTTATTACAAAACGATTTAATATCAGCAACTTTTAGTAGTTGCGACATATGATCGCCTATTTCGAAAGAAGTTTATCCGATCACCAAAGATATCTAGTCAAGTGACTGGTTTTGATAAATAATATATTGAGGAAATACCTAATGTAAGCAATTAGTGAGTACAATATTAAATGCCTTTTAGATAACGGCGACTTGATAACTGTACTTAAATTTTTCATGTATCGGTTAAGTTGTTATTTTAGCTAGCTTCGGAAGGTTTTACACCTAACTGTATTGTATAAAATCTATTTGCTTAAAAAATCAAAACACGTCCGGTCCAAGATATGTCAAATCCAAATGAAAATTACAATAGATGTTTGACGTTATAATTACATTATTTTGTATTCTTTTTATTTTATAAAAAAACATAAAATGACCACATTGACAACTTTTCCTGAAGACGATAGATGCCCAAAAGTGTGTAATGATATTGGAGCTTTTAAAAAAGCTGAAAAATCACCTGAACAGGCATTGGAGGAAGTTAAAATCTCTGAACAAAAAAAATCTGATGTTGAACCTAAAGTCGAACAAACGTTTAGTTCAGCTCCTCAAAATCCAGTGGAGGCAATGAGGCCTCCACCTTCTGGATATGAATATCTACCCAATCTTAAACCTGGGACAGATGGTAAAGTGGACTGGACGCCTCTCGGTGGAATGACTGGTACAAGACCTGGCGTCAACAAATACAGCATCAGCAGATATTCCCTCAGTGAATGGCGGAAACACAATGATATGGTCCTTGATCCTGAAATTATAACTGAATCAAATATTGTTGAATATAATGCCAAAACTTCTATGATGCAGGCATTTGGCAATATCGATAAACAACAGAGCGAAAACTGCAAACGATTGAAGCAGAAAGCGCGGGATATATTTAGATGGAAAGTCGAAGTTGAACGAGCATGTAAAGCTATAACAGAAGAAGTGGAAATGTTGGAAATAGAACGACAGCGCTTAAAGGGGGCTTCGAGAGTTTTGATGTTGCCTGAATCAATATCTAAAGAATGCTTAGATCTTCGTTCAAACAGATTCGAACCAGATCTGGTTGCTGATGCAGCTGAACAAGAATTAATCAAAGAAATGAACTTAGTAAGTGAAGTAAGGGCCACACTTAAAAACACATTAAATCAAATTAATGAACAATTAGCCATCAATAAGGCTGCTAAACACAGAATCGAATTCGACTGGTGTGATAAAACAATGGCTTATAATACTGAAACAATTAATTTAAGCCTTAGTCCTAAATCCAATACGATTTTGTTCAGACCTGGAGCTACTCGGTTCGGTGACTTTACTGCACCTTTGGAATATTGGGAATTCTTTTGCAGAGAAAACGTGCAAAGCTGTGAAGCTGCTAGACAAAAGTCAACAGATCTTCGTGGAAGTCTTAATGCTATCCTCGTGAATGGTGGTAGAAAGCTTCGTACCCAGGCAGATAAGACAGACATTTCTATAGCCGAAACTGTAGCCATAACTCAGGAACTATGTACTAAATTAGAAGAAACTTTACTCTCTACGCTACAGAGATTAGCAGATACGGAATGTTTGATTGACACTTTACATGAATCGATTAGAAAAATGGATGCAGCTATGAAATTAGCTCAAACACGACTAGATAACAGAAATAATTGGAGACCACATGGGGAGAACGTTAGAGACCAACCACATTTGGGCTTGATAGAGGAAGTTAAAAAGATTCACGAGACGGTTACGTCACTTCTTGGTCAATTGAGGAACTCAGAGAGAGTCAGGAAAGATTTGATGAATAAACGGATCACTTTAGAAAGAGAAATAGCATCAAAAAGAAAAACTTTGAACATTGACAGAGATAGAATTGGAATTATAAGATCTCATTATCCATCAGCCTCAGAATTGGCTGGATATTAAAAATACATGTTAAAAAATGACGTAATCCTATTCAAATTCAAAATCTGAACTTTATGGATCGTAAACTGTATGTTATGTTGTCTAGTTTAGCAAATTAAAGAAGTAATTATGCTGCAATTACATGCCATTTAAAACGTTTTATTTGATATTGTGTAATTTTTATTTCCACTTCCTGCAGTCTAAATACTGGTTGTAAGTGAAGATGTAAGATGTCTTTGATATAACAATGACTAAAGTTTATCGCGATGCTTTCATAACATTAGGGCTTATTAAATAGCAATCATTAAGTTATTTATGTGAAATCTAATTGCAACCTTTCACTCTTTTGTGTTTTCAAAGTAACATTTACGTAAGTGTTGATGCAAATGGAATTTTAAGATGATTCAACGGATTTAGACTTTAGATGTTGTAATGATGTAATCCGCGTCATATTATCAAAATCAGATGCTGCTTTGCTTTAAATATGCTAAAACAAAAAAAGCTATTTTTTATACGTATTTTTTGTGCTTGTTCAAGCAAGCTTACCTCTCCGTACGTTGACCGATCTGGATGATCGGTATAAAATGATTCGGATGTATAGAAAATTGGCCCCATAGAAAGGGTTTTGTAATCGGATGGATAGTTTATATATAGGCGTACACATATAATAAGCCCAATATTTATAGTACGTGTATAGTTCATACCCTTTATAAATATATATATACACACACATGTACACAAAAGCACAAATGTATGTATATATGTATAATGCTATATACAGTTAGTAACAGATGAAATGTCCTTAATAGAATCTCAAATTGTTTTGTATGATAAATCATCTTTTGCTGATGTCTTACTTCTAGATCGATTTAAATAGTAACAGTTTTACACCCGCTAGTCCTTGGAATCTTCACGCTAAATATTAAGTTGCAGCGAAAACAATACATCATTAACGCAATCCCACGTACCTGGGAACTTAAAACAAAGACTGACCTTTCTTTAATGTATAATTTGCTAACACCATTAGATACCGCTGTGGGATTGGATCAAAAACTTTTAAAAAAATAATGTAGGAAAATATTTAATTGTTATAGAAATTAAAATTATTGGATAATTAACGATAACGAGATACGGGATATCAAATGGAAAAATGTTTTCTTTAATCGGCATCTGCCTTAGATGAATAAGGGAAAAATTTATATTTATTCGTATCATCAACATATTATATTCGATATAATTTAAAGAAAGACCTTTTTATTTATTTTAGAGAGGGAATTAAAAATATAGCTATGGCTTGTCAGAGATTCATGCATTAATCAGATGACAGTTGAGTCGTCTGTTACTTTTGACTAATTTTAATGGTAATTTTATTTTTTTATTAATATTTTAAAATTCTTGTCGAAATGGCGAATCCTGCTAAAACTTGCCCACAAATCTGCCCTACTATGAATAAAGGTGAAGATAAAAAAGTGTACAAGGAAGCTGGAGAATCGAGGGGTGGGCAACAAACTAATGCCGCGCCTTATGTCCCTGGTATGATTAAACCCCCGGAAACCAAAGTATATCCTCCTGGAGCACCACCGAGATATTTACCTCAACCTACTGATAGTACAAGTGGGGATATATTAGGTATGGGACCAATTGCTCCTTGGGCTGCTGGCCATATTGATTGGACACCCCAAGCAGGGTCCACAGGTGTGCGGCCCGTCGTTGACAAATATTCAATAACGAGATATTCTACGGGTGAATGGAGGAAAACGAATGAATATACTCTTACGCCTCGGGCCACAGATAAAGCAAAAGCAGTTGAGAAACAGACCAAGCAAGATATACATGATGCATTTAGTAATCTGGATAATAAATTGAATGATTCTAATAATAAACTTGATAAACGCGTGAAAGTTCTATCTCATTGGAAAAAGGAGGTTGAAAAAGCGCTTAATGCAATCACTGATGAAATAAATACTTTAGATGAAGATCGAGCTAAATTAAAAGGAGCATGCAGAATATTGATGATGCCAGAAGCAATTTCTAGGGAATGCTTGGAATTAAGAACTGGAAGATATGAACCGGATTTAGTAAGAGATGAAGCTGAACAAGAGTTGATTAAAGAAGTAGCTATTGTCGGAGAGGTGAGAAGAGTATTTCTAAATACTTTGGCTAAAGTCGAGACACAGATGGAGAGAAATAAAGCCGCGAAATCATCAATTGAGTTCGATTGGGGCGACAAAATGTCTAGTTTACTAGTCGACCGAAAGAATTTATCGCTCTCCCCAGAATCAAGTTTAGTACTGTGGCATCCAGGCGTAGCGCGATGGCCTGAAAATGCAACCACTTTAGAATACTGGGAACATTTCTGTGCAGAGAGTATAAGGAACTGTGAAGAGGTCAGGAAAATGTCAGTCGATTTGCGAGGAGATCTCATGACTAATATTAAAATGGGCAGTCAAGATATGAAGCTACAGGCCGACAGAACAAACGCGGCTTTAGCAGAAACTGTTGCTGCAACCGAAGAGCTTTGTGAAAAATTACAAGAAAACCTAAAGGAAAATCTACAAAAGATTGCAGATATTGAAAACCTCATTCTTTATTTAAAAGATTCATTGAGAAAAGTGGATGAGAGGAACAAGTGTGTTATGACTAGGTTATTCGCCAGGAATTATGAGCGACCGAATGTTGAAAATTGCAGGGACGAAGCGCAGTATGCTTTAATGGCTGAAGCTAAGTTTATTAAGGAAACATCAGAGTCCTTGCAGGATAAAATTCGTCAGGCTCAAACAGTGCGTTCGGAACTCATGAAATATAGAGGAGAACTAGAAAAGGATATCGCATGTAAACGGAAGAGTCTTAACATTGATCAGGACAGGTGCGATAGGGTTCGCGCTCATATGCCTACACCTGAGGAATTCGCGGCTGGTTAACATTTAATAAAATATCGCAACAATGCTGACTCATTACTTGATCGCCTTCTGACATTTAGAATGAATAAATAAAAGGTTACGTTGCATTAAAGATAGGGCTGCGAAAAAGTCTATTGATAATCAGTACGCATCATTATATATATATGTCGTTTTATTCTTAAAAATCAATTTAGTTAATTTGACTAAAGCACTGATTTGTCTTCATCACAGCGTAAATAGATTTTGGAAGAAACTGGCTAGTTTTAGTTAGTATATTATTCATCATTTCTAATACACATTTCAGATACAAAATTAGGCATATAACTATTGCAACTATTCCCTATACAATTGAAAATATATTTAAAAAAATACTTTCTATTTTGTTGAGTAATGTATTTCGAACTATTTTGTAAGTGGAATTTCAGTCATAGACAATTATGTCCAGAACCCATAGAAATGCGTCTAGTAACTGCGGGAGGGGTGATGTATGGATTTAGAATGAGTTGCATTGACAACCAATCTCTCGTGCACATAAATCCAATTAATTGTTTATATACGATTATGCCTATATTTGCGTAAGTATATGTCAATAACAAATACATTAATACTTAGTTTTGACGTTACTATATGAAAAACACAAAAGTAGTAAACTATAACGAGATTTAGCTTTGTTAAGGCAGAAATGCAAGAAATTGGTTAGTCCTTGGTTGATTTATTGACAAACGTAATGTATAAGTAAACGACAACAAAATTTGGTGTGAAAATAAATGTCACTAGAACTTAATATAAGAAAAAAAGATCTAATGGAAATGAAGAGATTCGTAACAAATGACTCCAACCGAAACCAACTGTTTGCTATTGTAACTTATCGTTCTGAATTTTTTTCATTCTTTCATCGATTCGGACAATGCGAATGAGATAACAAGCGAAAGCTTCCAAGTTACCATTATACTTTCATACTTCATATTGACGTAATAAAACAGATGATCGACAGATTCAGTTAAGTCCACAATAAAAAAGACTCGTTAAAATCTAGTGTGTAACAAATTGGACATTACAACACATATCTGGGCCATGTTACTCAACGACGTCTCAACATTTCTATGATATATTAAAAATGATTATGACAGTATATCATGTTTGTTCGTAATAGAATCGTCATTTATTAATTCTTCATTGCGTAATATAAAATGATCAGGCAACAAAAATAGAATAGCAATAGTTGGACTTGTCGCTAAGTAGCTCTTAAATAATAGGTAGAAATAAATTCAAGTTTATTATGTAACGGTTATTAATGGAGGAATTAGTGTTCAGCGGCATTCAGATATCCTATATGTTTATCAATAAATTTTTTTTATAATATATTTATTTATCAATAATGAAACATGACACGTCACAAATCAAGATATGTAAAAAAATACATACAGGTTATAATTATAGAAGTAGAATAAGAAGAATTATAGATTTTTAATAAAAATATGAGTAACAGAACTTAAATAAAAGAAAACAATAAAAGGCACGAAAATGTAAACACATACAACACAACGCAAACCAAGCATGAAAACATATCAACTTTGAAAAACTGAGTTTAAGGAAAAAATAATGTTTGAAAGAGTTTCCCCGCGTCGTAAACAACATATATACATAATAGACAAATAAATGCACATTTCAAACATCATACAATAAATATGTCTCGTGCGTGACATATTTTTGATCACGTGCCTCTATTAACAAATTATAATACATTTTTAAGATAATTGCATGATTAAAATAATTATATTATCACGATACGTTTGTATCTCATTTAGAACATGCACGTACTTATTTTAATCAAATGAGAAATGTATTAGAAGGATTTCAATCTGCAACAGATTTTAATGAATTCTTTTAAATACCTCAGTTTTGCATACACCACCGATTTTGATTTTCACTTCAATGTTGCGCTACGAATTAGAAAACAACTCTCTCTATGTATATCAATTTCTTTAAAAATTTAAAGCTCTTGAAAGTTCCTGATTAACAGCACAGGACCAGCGTCACCTTGGTCATTTGTTTGTTGACATTATTTTTATTTAAATTATTTTTGTATGCTCACATAAATCAATGTTGTTACATCGCGAATTTATTCATATTATGAATATTAATTATATATTCATAACAGTGAGTAATGACGAACATAATAACTTAATAACAAAAATTTAAGTAATTTATGTTACGTAATATATGCAAACTGCATATAATATGTCGAGTTATAAGAGATTTTGTTTGTTTGGTTTAACGGGAATCTCGAACTATTAGTTCGAAGTTACTCAAAAAACAACATTCGTCTGTATTTGCTTTGCCTACTTGTATAGTAGAGAAAAGCTTTTATACATACTTATGTAACTTATATGATTTACAATTATCATGTACCTATTCGTTTCGATTATTTAATAACGCATAGAGTAAAATATTAAGTTCCGTTAATTAATTTTAAGCTTCACGGTCACATAACCGGTAGCTAGCTAAATGTATTTACCAAAATAATTATGGACCGTGAAACAAAGATTTTAGTTAATATTATATGCATAAAATGAATAGTGTAAAATCTTCTTCGTAAGTTTATATTTAAATATTTAGTAATATTTAGTAATACTCTCCCAGAGTATCGAATATAGATATATAGATATTATCGAATATAGATTAGATTAACGAATGTTAATTATTAAATAGTCTATTAATAAAACCATCGAATCGATCTATCAAATATATGTTATTTCTGCTTCATTACAAGTATTTATTACAAGTCACTGTTAAGTTTGTAAAAAAAATCATTAGAGTTTCGGAGAGATTATTAACATGCCTACGTCCGTACGTCCTTTAATGTACGTCCATTAATGTATTTAAGAACCATTTAATTTTAACCGTTCATAAATGTGTTACGTATTAATAAATTAGATTTTATGATCGGCCTGCTTCTTCTATCGTAAAATTACTAGTTTTACAAACCGGAAGTAAAAGAAACTGTAGCAAATGCACCGTGACAGTTACATAAAGAAAAGGGAAACCGTAATAATCTATTTCTCATATAATTTGTTGTAAATACTGATTGTCTACACTACTCTAAACCGCTTTCTACAAGAGAAACTGACTCTAAATATACAGCTAGCTTTACATTTTGTTACTTAGTGCATACTTATTTACTTTCTAATCCTTGATCCTACATATAAATTAAAGAAAGTCCTGCAAATTCAAATTCCATAATAATTTTTCTTCTATGCCTGACACACGTCAACGTTTGGGGCCTACGGGTAAGATTTAAAGACGATTTACTATGACTTTTTCTTCTTAAAGTATGACTTCTAGAGTTTCTAGAGTTAACAAACTCTCATATGTTTTTGATGAACAAGAGTCAGAGAGAGTGAGTCTGAACTCTTAATTAGATGCGCATTTGTGTCCACCACTTCACCGTACAAGAACGCGTTATTTTTTCACAAAGCAAGAAAAGTCCGTTGGAGAAGGGTGTCGGCCTTAGTGGATAGCGTTGAGAACCGCATTCGTAACCGTTTAGCTTTATGATGAAGAGTGTAGTCCAGTTGGATAACGTTAGTACAATAGAATTCAACGCAGTTTTATTTCTCCAGATACTATTCTTTAATATGGCACATCTGTCCAAAAAACATAGAAAACCTCTGTAAGAAATTACCAAAGGTCCGTCAGTAATGCGATACAGTTGAAAACGTTCATGATTCACAGCAGAAAACATTAATTAAATTTTTTCTACTGCTCCCTTTAAAATGTTTATATTTAGTATGCATACAGTCTTGCAACCATTAATTTGGGTAAGTCCACAAATGTTCCCATATAATTATTAGGACGCAAGCGTTTATCATTTTCATCTTATCTTGATAAGTTTCTGCCTGTAGCACTCTCACTCTGCGTTGGAATTGTATGAAAAATGCCGTAACAGAATTATTCCGAGCCACGACATTATACACTATCATTCTCAACTAAAACAGATGTATTATACTTTAATAGTATTAATGCTGTATTATCTAATACAAGAACAATAAACAGTTATTTAGGCAAAAAGTATGGGAAATGCATTGTGCATTGTCGATATACTGTTATATCTCAGGGATGTATTAGATTGTTTAATGTTCAGTTTAGATTATTCAAATAACATCTGTTGTTAAGATTTTTGATACAAATACTTTGGTTTTATAGTAATACATAGTTAGATTTAATAACGATTAGGAACAATATTTCTTTCGAATTTGTACAAATAAAAAAAAATATGATTAAAAAAAATCACTTTATTTGACCATAAAAACAATTACATTTTGTACTAAAGGTAATAAACATACAATATGCAAGGAATCGTTGTGTTCTCACTATTAATTTTGGTTAACCTCGTACATAAAATAATTGTATGAGCACTAGCGTTTAAACTAGGCCTAGCCTGTATCTTAAACGCTAGTTCCTTCCAGTGTCTTTAACAAATTGGTTAAGTTGTTTGTCATTAGATGTTTATTCGGGTTATATTTTTATTGTTTATAAAACTAAATGAGGGTAGAATCTAAAAAAAATCCTCTTTAGAATATTAATTTATCGTAATTATTTAAAATTTTGGAGGCATTATGAAGTCAAAATGATAATGAACATCTTTATCTTGGCATTCTGAAGACGGTTACAACTTTTAGGATATTTTGTATTATTTCATTAATAACATGATGATTTTAGATTTTCTACGAGTTTTCTTTTTCTCAAATCACTAGGCGAACGAAAGTTATAATAAAATATGCTGGCAAAGCAATCAAAGCGGCAAACAAGCTACACCAGATACAAGTTATTAAAACCTCAATGTCACCGCAAACCGCGTATATCCGTGTATCACATTTCCTCAGAGAAACTTGCTGTTTGCTCCACAAGGACTTAATAACGACTTAGTTCGCCTGCAACACTTCTGAACATTATGTACACTATACTGTGCAGTGTACGACTTAATAGTAAAGGCTTACTATAAAGTCAACGATTATCTAGTTGATAAAATGGCCTGGGACTAGTGCTAGACAGGCTACTTCTAATTAATTTGCGATATTTGTTTTAAATAAGTGTTGTTTGATGATTTGCTGTTTTAAAAGAGTACCGAGAGTTTTTTACGCCGGCTTTTTCTCTCGGCCTACACCCTCTGTCTTCTTTGCCGATGAGTAGGGATGCCTACAAATTGAAATTTAATGACGTGGAATAAGTGATACATGTATCTTATGTTCCATAATAAACATATTTTATTTATTTATTTTAATTTTTTAATAGTAGTTTTAGTTTAGACTAAACTTTTTAATTGTTTGTTGTGTAATGGCTAGTCCATAGGTTAGTTAGTTAGTCAATAGGCTACGACGGAATCAGGAATGCAACCGCTGGGTACAACAGGTTATTATTAAAGCAAGTAACTTTGCTCTGTTATATGATATTTCGTGGGAATATCCGTTGAATTATACCTATATGCATTGTATCCGATGCTTTTATCTGGATTCGACACGCGGATTAAATGTATGTTCTATTTTTCCAGCGCTATGTATGGTTGGCGGTGTAGCTGTGTACCCTGCCGGGTGGAATGAAGCAGTGGTTCAGGAGACTTGTGGACCCACTGCTGACCAGTATAATATTGGTGAGATACGATATTTTAAATAATCCAACCTAATCCAATAACATAAAAATATATGTAAAAAAGTCATACTTATTTATGAGTAAATAATAATAACTGTATGTAAACAAAGACTAAGCAACTTGGTAAACTAAAAATTACGAAACATATTTGAAAGTAGTTTGAAATCTAGTAGTATGGAAGACGCAGCAGTGTTGGCCTAGTGATCCCTGATGTCATAAGATCTCCGGCTGTCCGCCAATGGACTTTCTGTCTATGTGCGCATTAGAACACGGTGAAGGAAAACCGGCATATTCTAATAAAAAAATGTACGATCTGCGACAAGGCTGATCTCCTATCGATAAAATTAAAATCATCAAATTAACGAATCCAATCGAGACCAAGAGATATAGGGTTGTAGCGCCACTGGGTTATTATTTTTAGTATGTAGGACTAGTCGTCCCCTGGAGCTGAAACAATTTAAGTAGGCTGATAATGGTAAAATATTTTCCAGGTCGCTGCCATATCCGATGGGCGTATATCCTTGCGATAATCGGTTGCCTTGACGGAATTGTACTCGCTGCTCTGGCCTTCATACTTGCCACCAAACATGTACGACTGCAACCTGATACCAGCTACCCATCACCGTCACTGTATAAAGGTAACTGACACCATTCATACAAATACCTATATATTGTCCTATTCATCAACATATGACCTTGAAATATGATACACATTAAAAATAATTGTTTAATTCATCCCTTGGTGTAAAGTAACGGATGAACCTAGAATGTTTTTGTTTTGTTTAAAAATACTTTTATTGTATTTTATACTAATGCTTTTAAAACTTACAATTATAAATAGTGGAAATCAGTTAACATTCCATATAAATGCACCTGTTATGTGGTATTACATAAAACGTTCCAACCCGATTCCCATATCGGCTATGGGTTTGAAAATGAAACCACTAGTTTACGATAAATTATAACGTGTTGAAATTATGTATATAATGTTTGATTACGAAGTCCGTATAGGACAAGCATTTAAGCGTTTAATTTAATCTTGGCCTTGTCTTGCGTGCGATTGTAGGTTCAAACCCCGGACAGGAAAAGCTTTTGAGCCTTTCCTGTCTATGTGCACATTTTTACCCCGATAGGAAAGTAATGCTATGCCATCAGTGAAGGACCATGCCTTAGACCAAAAATGTCGACTCACTTACTTCACTCACTAAAGTCACTTGTCAATTAGACAAAAACGAATCTGGTCACGAAACACACACAGATATTTTTTTCATAAAAAAAATACGACTTTAAAAAAAAATTAAATAACGTGCAAATTGACATATGTATATAATTTTTTTTATCATATCCAAAGAATGTTTGTACATAAGTTAAGCGAACACGAAACCACTCTTGTGATGACGCATTTAATAAATATGCAAAACTCGCTTTCAATTTATTTGCAACGCTGTCTTCAATTTGCAAATGTGGTTATTTAGGAATTTACTGATTTGTATTGACCATAATTATATTAAGCATAACTTTTACGAAACTGACTTCTAGGCTTTCAAGCTTAAGCCAGATTGCTAAGAAAAGCTAAAACTAGTTTTATTGACATATTCACCTATGAAAAAATATTGATACGACTAATTTCTTTTAAGTTTCGTAAAGTTGGGAATATTAAATATATTCTTATTAGAATTATTTTTGTAATATTACAGCAATATTGTAATCACGACATTTATTTTACCGCAGGACAGGTTACGCGTACAAGCCATATGGCATCACTTTCTGTGTCATCCGCATACTGATGTAAATGTCCTACATACGTACGTTAGTTTCAACAAGCTAAAGATTATTTTCAATAACATTTATTAACCTTTTATATTCGTATTATCCGGATTATTAAAAAAATACCTGGCTCTATAATTTTTGAATATTTTACATTCACTATACTTATATAGGCATATGTATGAAATTAAATAGTGATTTGAGTAACACGGATCCATAAAAAAAATAGATGAAATTCTGATTTAGCCCTTGTAAAATTAGTAACAATATTTTTGAATACATAGTCTTTCTTAAATATATACCTTAGAGATTTTGTCGGATAGCGCCATCTATGCTTTATAGTCTCTTTGCAACTCTTATTATTAGAGCGTTTTATTATATCATCCTCTTGAGCAAGTCTTACTTGTCGTTACGAGATGGCGCTAAAGAACATTTATTTAAACATTTGTTTTGAACTACGTGGTTCTATTATTTTAATTGATTACTCCATTGAAAATACTTATTAATGATCACCAATTAATAAAACATTTTTTTTATCTAATCATCAATGTTTTTCATTTAAAATTTTCTTTTACAGGCGAAGTAAACAACGCATACGTGACTGACGCGACATCTATGGCCGGTTCGCGCAAATCACTAGCACTGCAACCGGTGTTGATAATGCACCCTCATGCGCCACTAGACGTCGACACATACTCACATTATTCGGGACGGACTGCTCGCTCAAAACACGGAATGTATGCGAACTCTATGCATAATTATTAATTTTTAAGAATTGCCGTTGTATAAAATATTCTTTAAAAGTAGAAATTAAATGATATATTAATAACTTTGGAGCTTACTTCTTCTTCTAACACCTATTTAAAATGTCTTGTTCTAATAGAAAAATTGTCGGTTTGGTTACAAGAAACTAGATTTGCCCCATCCCTGCCTATATAGAATTATAATTGGGGTTTGCACAAGCTGAACATGTTATGAATTATTTATGGTTTTACATAATAACTTTAAATAAGTTTTTTTTATCTAAGTTTGAAATGGAATAGTTATTTAACATTCTGTTGATCAGTTTTAATTTTTATCCAAAATTAAAATCCTGAAACGATTGTTTTATATGTGTAATTAAATGTAATTAACAAGTAAAGATTATTATTGTTGTAATATAGATTTATTCATGTAAATAACTTAAAACAGAATATAAATTAAATGTTCTTAGAAGTAAGTGTAAACACCATAGTTAGTACAAAAAAATACTTTTTTGTATATTTTAGTTTAGTAACGATTGTAATAGTGCCTTAAGTAAATATAGTTTTCAGTACAAATATTTTGTTTTATTGAATTAATTTAGCTAGACAGCTCTTAAAAGATTTTTTTATCGCAAATTGTTATTGCTAAGTTGGTCGAATACGGCCCATGATACTATGTCTTCAATGTCCATACTGTTGTATGTGTAAACCCGTTGTTTTCTTTACATGTAACTTTGGGCATTTCATATTGAGCTAATAAACGCATTTGGTTTCTTCTCCGATCTGTCAATCCATGTCGCCCAGGGTCTCCGATAAGTACCTGAAATAATTGGAGGTGATTAATATTTTAGTACATACTACGGTTTGTTTAACCAGAAATTGTTTTTTTAGTATGTAAGACAGACTATCGGATTTTGTAATGTTTTATTTATATTTTATAAATTAATTTTATATTGTGCAATAAAGTATGAATAAATAAAATATTTTAAATATGCAAAAAGCCAACATCACGTGGTGTTCCCAGGCGGTCACCCATCCAAGTACTGACCACGCCCGACGTTGCTTAACTTCGGTGATCGGACGAGAACCGGTGTATTCAACGTGGTATGGACGTTGGCGATAGAAGTTTCTAAATAATTTATTATATTGCTTGATAATGATAGAATTTGTTGCATATAAAGCTACTCAGACGCTCCGGGTTTTAATCAAGTAGCTTTATCACCAAGTGTTTAAACGCAATAAAGCGCTCGTCCAAACCTTGAGATCGCGTGTTACAAAAGCTCATTTTTGAGAGCGACTATGGATCACCTTCGGTATAACTATTAGAAATTACAGAGTATGGGCTCAAGACTGAACTATGGACAAAATAAAATGTACAATTTATTTTAAGTATCTGCACAAATTCAGTTAAATAAAGTACCTACCTAAATAAAATTATATTATTATTATCTGAGTGAGAGTCAAAAATTTTCGTTCCAATTCGTAAGTAACCAAGGCCTTGTATTCTTTTAACGAAGTATTCTCAGTCAAGAGAAGAGTTACAAAGTCAAGTCAAAGTCTGAGTAAAAAAATCAATCATAATTTTTGAAGTGAATCTTCCTTATCGACGTATGGGAGAAATTATGTAGCAAATCGTCACGTTTTTCGGTTACGCGCTATGTTCATTTTTGAAGTCAAACGTAAAACTTCTGTATCGGCGTTGGAAAAAAATTTACCGTCGCATTTTTCGGTTACGCGCCATCTTATTCTTGTCCCTACCACGGTTGATCCGAAGAGATTCGAAGCCATTAATAACAAAAATATATAATAACGATAACAATGATAGTAATAATTCTATTACAATTAATGAAATTCTGTAATGATCTTAGTAGTAATAAGGTAAAATTAAATAATTGTATTATTTGTTTTCAAGTCTATAAACATAAAAGCCTTTTGTTAAACTTTATCTAATTTAACTTTATTTAACAAATTTCTGTAAATTTGCATATAGTAGATCATTTTTCGAAAAATAAGGTCATAAAGAGGTTTAATTTCTTACGTGTGTACAATAGTACACGCACACATTTTTAAAAAGTTTTGGACGAAGAATAATATCTGGGTCAACGCATTATTGGGTTTAACTTATAAACCAGCTTTGCTTACAACATCTGTTTTATTCTGCGTCAGTAAAAGGCATTGTTCAGAGGAAAATAACTGGATTATATACAAAACGACCTTTGCCTAAGCACGTTTTAAGACTTCTTGCTTTTCAAACTTATTGACACGCGACGTCACGTGATCCCATGATCACGTTGCACGTGTCAAAATGAATTATTAAAATGACTAGTATTCTGAATGTACAAGAAGTTTTGGCTAAACAAAGTAGTTCAATTTTACATAAAGAAACGAATTCATACAATTATTAACACGACATGCGCGCTATTTTGAAAAATGCTGTGTGTCTATGGTCAAAATAGCACTTTGATAATTATGTGTAAAATTGTATTAATTAAACGCTTAATGTAAATGTAATGCTAACTAATGTAAATGTAATGCTAAAACCAAATAGGTAGGGCGGGGCTAGTTGAGCAATTTTTCACTTGCTTGGATATAGCTCCTCAATGATAAGTCTCAATGAGTTGTTATGTGTCCTGATGGATTAGTAATTTATCCCTTAACAAAAGTGTCCATAGTATTTTTTTGTAACAAGTCCACTATAATAGCTACAGATGTTTAAATGCAGAAAGTCAAGTATGCTCAATGTACCCCATAGGTGGGGTAAGTTGAGCAAGGGTATGGGGCAAGTTGAGCACTAAGAATGTCTAGGCCAAACCATGGGTTCTATGTTAACTTGAGATGAAATAAAATATGTGTTAGACAGTCAGCTTTTTATTTATAGTCTTTTATTGACAGAACAACAAAATTTAAAGAAATTTTCTTTGTATAATTAACCGAAACTAGAATCAACAAAACATGAGCATCCATATCTATCCATTACTTCCGATAATTTCTAAAAAAAGAGTACCAAGGCTGGTGGATTCTGGTTTCTGTATGGATAGCTACGATTTTTTTGTTTTTAAAACATCATCAACCATTATTTTCCGGAAATCTTTTTTGCAATTCAGCTTGGTGGAATTTCAGCACACTTAGGCAAGGCGACGGACGTCTTTTGGAGAAAAATGCCATTTGCAGCAAGAATTTTTTCAACAGTTCTCTTGTGAGAGAGGATATACTTCCCTCGGTGTTGTATAGCCCATAAATCATCACCTTCATTTAATTTATTTAAAAGTCAACCAATACCGAATTCTTTAGCGGCGGTATTCACACTTTTTCCTCATCGTGGACAGCCTTTGCAGCATTATTTAAGTATTCAGTAGTGTAAGAACATCTTGTAGTCTTCCTCTTGTAAGTCCGCATCCAAACAAAAAATAAAAGATTCATTACTCATCAGTTGTTTAAGTCGTAGAGTTAGTTGAGCTATAGTTGCTCAACTTACCCCAACCCGGAATTTTAAAAGAAAAGTAGGATTGTAAATAAATGTCTAGAATTAGACCCAAAACCTATTTACAAATCAAAAATACAATAATCTTCTGAAAGATTAACACTCTCCTGATTGAAAACAGAGAACATTTGACAAAGACAGACGAAAACTTGCGATAAACAATGTTTTTACTTTTTGGTCACAAAATAAACAAAACGCCGTGACACTTCACTCACTCGTCGAGCTGCCACTAGCTATCGTGCGATGATTACCTCTCCTACCACTCCTTCTTTTCGCTATTTGATACTCCCGCGTAAGGTGAATAGTTTCCGAGATATTTCGATTGCCCAACTTGCCCCTATGCTCAACTAGCCCCGCTCTACCCTACATAATTGTGTAGAATTTACCTAAATACATTGGGAATAAATATATCAGTTTTAGTAAATTACATATTTTTGTGTTCGTACCATTTTTTTCTTCGATAGTTTTATTAACCAATCAAATAAGAGATTTGCAAAATCCTCATCATAAAACATATCTCCTATAAAAATCGCATCAAATTCATTGCAGTCATTCCCAATAAGGTTGACACTGCTTGTTTCTACTCGAAGGTCGTTTAAATCCGCATTTAATTTAGTAGCATATAAGGCACCTGAAACATATTGATAATTTAAGCATGTTTACTATCAGGGGATGTAGCTCAGTGGTAGAGCGTTCGCTTTGCATGTGAAAGGCCCCGGGTTCGATCCCCGGCATCTCCAGTTTTTGACATTTTTTATTTTTTAAAAATTATGATATTTCATCAAAGTTAATATCTAGTTATCTTCTTATAATATAAAATTCTCGTGTCACAATGTTAGTTTCCATACTCCTCCGAAACGGCTTGACCGATTTTTATCAAATTTTATATGCATACTAGTGGACCCCACAGACGTTGTCCTGCATGATATTTAAAGCGATTAGGATATTAAGCAAAGTATGAAAGTACCGACTGCAGTGCCATCTGCCGGGCTGATTTGTGAATCTAAACCATTTCCAGATCCCCTTGAACACACACAAAAAATTTCATCAAAATCGGTCCAGTCGTTTGAGAGAAGTTCAGTCACATACACACGCACACAAGAAATATATATATTAAGATTCAGTAGGTCTCAGAATCGGCAAAAAATAAAAATAAAAAAAAAATATTTTTATTTTATGGACAATTTTTTTGTTTTTATATTTTTATGATACAGCATACAAAATACATACAACCCCTAATTTTCACCCCTCTACGATAAACCCCTATTTTGTATTATACATAGTAGATAGTTATTTTTATTGAACTAAAAAAATGTTTCCTAGAAATAAGATACATGGCAAAACGACGCTTGCCGGGTCAGCTAGTAACGATATAAAATTTGCTTCAGCGTTGTTACGTGTCATCAATTCATTTTGTACTTACAAAGATCTATGTCATTTGCTACGACAAGTTTTGCATTGACTTTTGCCGCTGCCAATGCGCCAGCACCGCAACCACATCCAACATCTAATATTTTGCAGTTATTTACTGAATCTGCACTATCTAAGATATATCTGTAACAAAAAGTATATATTGTGTCCTTAAAATACATTATATTATGTGAGGCTAGTTTTACAAATAGTTCGACGGATGTCAAGAACATTGTATGCACAAGATGGCGCTTATTTCAATATACATTTATATATTATATTTTAGTACGAAAGATTATTATAAAAAAAGGTTAACTGAACCTCAAAGCTTTGACGGACAAATTTAAAAAAAAATTGCAGCAGACAGTTTCAAGTTATGTAAAAACTATACTTTATAATATGGAAAACTCAGAACCGTGGGCGTATTTGGAACTAAGCTGAAGCACTAATTCGAATAGAGTACGTGAAGTTACGTACATACTTTCTTAGATCCAGAATACCTATTCATTCCAATTTTAGTGCACAAACACGGATTTTGTATTAGCTTAGAAAAAAGGGGGGGCGGTTCATCTATCATATATTTTTTTATTTATTTAGATGTTTTATTTATATTCACATACATAGTTTTTTTCGTTTGTTTTAGTATTTTTATTGAAAAATGTAAAGATAAAACTATCGTAAATTTGGAATAATGGTTTTTTTTTAATGGCTCTGGCACGATTTGTGCATTAGCCAGCGTCGTTCAAGTATAGGATTTTTTTATAATTCGTGCTTGTCTTTAGAAATTCGACCGTGTCCTTTATGTACGGTTTTAAGCACTCGCCCGGTACCGCACAACCCTCCCAAAGGCCGAGAACAAATTCAAATTAAATTAAAACTTGCCCTCGAACCGGGAATCGAACCCGGTACCGACAATAATAGCTATTATTAATATAAAAAAAAGCTTATCAATATTGTATACAACATAATTGAATATTTTCGACATGATTACGCCAACGTCCATACCACGTTGAATACACCGGTTCTCGTCCGATCACCGAAGTTAAGCAACGTCGGGCGTGGTCAGTACTTGGATGGGTGACCGCCTGGGAACACCACGTGATGTTGGCTTTTTGCATTTCCTTTGTATTTTTATAATGAAACCATTTTTAAAGCTATTTAGACCTCTCAAGTTAGAGACCCTATATAATATTTCATACTTTAGTAGACGTTAATCGAATTATACCTACTCTACAGCTCACGCTTTGTTGGATTAACATTTTCGCACGGTACAATTTGAACTTGTTCTTACACGTGCAGCGTGATGGGTCGCGTGCCTCAAAGTTTAAGGAAAAAGGGTTCAGGAGCAGAAACGTTTCTTTATCACAAGCTTTTCTGTATTTACTCGGTTGTTATCACTTCAATAATTCCTTTTTTGTTCCTTGAAGTTTTATCGGAGTATAAGTTATAACCCGTTTGCCCAGCCGAGATTTCTCCATAGAAGAGTATGGTTTCTGGGATGTGTACGGTGTACATATGTGGTGTCTGTGTGAGTGAGTAATGAGTATGTGAGCTGTCAACACAAGCCAACGTCAAAATTTACAACCCACAACCACAAAGAAGCAAGTTTTTCATAGTAATGATTTTTCTTATTACACTAATTTTACGGAGACATCTCTGTAGAAAGCTGTGATATCAGGATAGTTAAAACAATGTAAAGACATTCTTTATATTTTCAGAATTTCTAGCTTTGAGAATTTAAATAAAAAAATTGTTAAATTAGATTATGTAGAATATAATACAATATTTTGAAACTTCTATCGCCAACGTCCATACCACGTTGAATACACCGGTTCTCGTCCGATCACCGAAGTTAAGCAACGTCGGGCGTGGTCAGTACTTGGATGGGTGACCGCCTGGGAACACCACGTGATGTTGGCTTTTTACATTTCTTACTTTCTTTTTACATCTACTTGGATTTACATCATTATCGACGGTTCTTTCATTGAAATATTTACCTAATTATTTATTTACCTGTTGCTACATTCAACTTTTAAAAGCTATTGATTGTTTTATGCTACTTATATTATTATTATGGCAGTTTGAAATAAAATACAAATGTGTGATAATTTTAGTAATTGAAGATATGACTTTAATAGTACAATAAATAGTAGTTGTTAACATCATGCTTGCATGCACTTCATTGCATGTACAGAAATATAATACAATTGGCATGATTAAATAAAAAGAAGGGGAAACAGGAATTATCTCTTTCGAGCGATCTCTTCTAGGCAACCACTGTGTATAAAATAGTTGCAATAATAATAATTAAATTAGATAAGGTAAGCGTAAGAAATGCAAAAACACATAAGACATACAACAAAGCAATTAAAACATATGTAAACAGCGATCAGGACAATATAAAAAAAGGAGATGAGAAGAAAAAAGTGCACATGAATCACGAAAATTTTATTAACAATATTATTTATTAAATTTATTTACTATGCCTTTATATTACTATTTATGTATTTACATTATAACATACGACTTCTTCGATACTAACAGTCCCCTCTCGAGTTGTGTGTTACGCTATTGCGCTCACGTGAGGACTGAGGAAGTTGAATGAATCTGATTAGCGCTGCTGCTTTTTAATTTCTCATGTAATTTTCACGTGTCTATTTTAACATATTTTCATAAGTATTAGATTGTACTTCATTTTAACATGTATCAAGTATGATAGCATATTTAAAAGACAATTAAAAAACATTGTATAGAGTTACGTTAAAAACCATCCCTTAGCTAAGGAACTTTAGTTTAAATCATGTAAGATCCATCCTATAATACCAAGATAAAAAACGATAAAATTTTACTAGCGGTGAGTCATACAACTTTTCCGGAAACAAAGTAAGAGGGTTTGTTTCCATGAAATATTCTAGAGGCCTTATTTCACAGCGAAAGCCTTCGTGACTCATCAGGGGGTGGACCACCCCCTCTTGAAATTGCTGCCTTTTCTGAGTGGGTGGAGATTAAAAGCTTATACTGAAGACGTTGGTTATAACATAAAAGTAAGCGCTTTACATGTAAAGAAAATAGTTATTTCTATCATATTATTATTGGTGCTATTTTAGTTATTTAAATTAAAATAAAGCTGCCTTTTTCGGTTGGGACCGTTTTGCCCTCTTCAAATCATGATTTTTACGGTTCTCCCACTCATTATTGAAACCAGCTACAGTTTGTGTTAATTGCCACTTTCTTACAGAATAGTATCTCACGCAGTAACGCTGCTATTTGGATTGCAATATAATGTTTATTGGTAAAGAAAGTGGTACATACAGATTGATTAATTATAAAACGGGTTGTTTTACAATCAATTATCATAATGTCATAATAAGTTAAGTTATTTATAGTTGTTGTCAATACTTTTGGTCTAAAGGCAGCTTGCAATTAAAAATTTAATCACCTTCCCCTTGTAACCATTACACGGCAGTAACATAGCAATAACGTTTTTGTATGCAATTTCAATACATCTCTAGATATTCGTACATAGGGTATGTAGGTATGTATCGGGGAGTTTTAAACCACAGAACTCAATCAACAAAGTCGAAAGAGCATACGAACTAAACGAATATACATTTATCTATTATAGATAATCATTATATTATCAGACAAAAGATCAATTAATTACTTATATCATACAAATCGGATAACTAAATTAAAATAAAAGTAAATCTAAATTACTATTGTAAATAAAGATATAAATGTATAATAGAATCATGACATATAAATATATAATATAATAATAATAAATGGTATAATGCTTATTCACGCTAACAAAAAAAATAGGACCGAATTTATTTCATATTTCAGCAATCACTATTTTGATAGGCATTGATTATCGTAAAAATTCTGCCATTTTGCCCTCGACGTTCCATATTGCTCTCAGCGCCGGCTCCTGTCCCTACTATATGATATTATTAATTTATTTAAATTCAGTTAGTCAAATCAAAGAGTCTATCTTCAACTTAAATTAAAAGTATTTCGCATAAATTATAGAGCTTTTAATATCTGCTAATTGTTTGTCACAAACTTAAAAATCACTTGTTCCCTAAATGAGTTAACAGCGCGGCGTAAGGCCGGCCAGGTTCACGCGAGGCTTTTAGCAGTGTGAATGTTGAATGAACATTCTTAACGTCAGATGTGTCCTGCCCGTTTGCCTTCTGTTTTATATAAAACATATTATAAACGACCAGTCTTATATTTAAGAACAATTTGCTGGTAAAAAAAAAGCAAACTACGACATGAAATTACGAGTAATATGTTATATGAACCCAAGTGCCACAAAACAAACAAACTGATACTAATACATCGTAAAAACAATGACAAAATATTATAAATTACCTATCAATTTAAAACAATAATTACTTTAATAATTATTGTATTTGAGTTCGATAAGTGTAAGCAGATAATTTTTTTTTCGTTGAATCATAAACCTAGGTTATATTTAAATAAACAAATGAAATAAAAACATTTATTTGTGAGCTTGTATGTAACAAGCAACTAAAATGTATGTAGTGCTCTGGAAGTGAATCTGTCTGAAAAGAGTCCTTTGAATAATTTCACACGCGTGACTCATACTAAAATTCTTCAGGATGATTCATAATCCTCTTACTCTTTCTAACTTCAGAGATCCTTTCTCGCCCTACTTGTAATATGATGTCCCACTCGCACCCTCATATCAGTCTCAGTTTAAGGTTGATGCAAACATATTTTAATAGAATTAAAGCACCTACAATTTGTCGTAAATGGGTTTACGTTTTTGTGTATGCTATTATTTATTTTAGATGCGTTTTTGACTTAGTCAAATTATGATAAACCTTTTGGACAAGTGGCCGCTTGAGAATTTTTGATTGCCCCCGAAATTACGATTATCAAATTTATCGTATTGTTTATATATTGTCTAAAATAATCCAAGATATAGGATATAATATAACGTGATAATTGAAAGCCATATGACATTTTGATTAAAACAAGATTTTAAAGATAATCTAAAATAAATAGCAGTGTACAAAAATTTGATTGAAATATGTTATTGCTCCAAAATTTATTTTATTCTTATAACCCGGGAAAACCACATTGCCCCATTTGACTTCATACTACTAAAGTTTTCCTTATAAACGTGCGTAGATTAAATATTAATATTCATATCACATACGTAAATACGAACAGGTTGCAAGCCAGGTCAGTTAATATCAATTCTAGGATTGTATCAATGATAGCGGAATATATAAATAATCAGAATAGTATAAAAGTAAAACTGGAAAGTTGTCTAATTTATATTTAAAGAAACCACTTTATAAAACAATAAATTGTTCCCAGAGGCGGTTAAGATAACATTCATGGGTAATAAAAAGCTGTTCACTAACATGATATGAAAACCTAAAACCCTAGGATTATCTAGCGCCTATGACTGAGAATGCCCGATTCCCAGGGTATAACCTTGGTAAGTTAAGAAAGAAAATTTAAAGAAATTTTAACAAAGGCCCAAGTCACGCTAGTTGGTTTATATCTATTCTTAAACTATAAATACCTTGCAATCGCCTGCCCACCAGGCCAGTAAAAGCCCCAGAAGGGGTCTTTAAATGGGGATTGATTAGCTGGTGCTGACCAGAGAGGACAATCTGCAGTTATCAACCGTAGCAAAAGCTCTGGTGTAAGATGACTTCTAGTAGGTTTTGTGTGCTTTAGGAAGAGGGATGTGAACTCTTTAAGTAGCATCTGAAAAAAATATTAATCAATCATTATTATTAAGTTAATCTAATATATAAAATTCTCGTGTCACAGTTTTCGTTGCCATACTCCTCCAAAACGGCTCGACCGATTCTCATGAAATTTTGTGTGCATATTGGGTATGTCTGAGAATCGGACAACATCTATTTTTCATCCCCCTGAATGTTAAGGGTAGTCCACCCCTAATTTTTTTTATTTTATTTTTAGATATTTTTTCTGTTTTTATTTTTTTATGATACAGCATTAAAAAATACATACAAACCCCTAACTTTCACCCCTCTACGATCAACCCCTATTTTTTTATTATAAATGATATATATGGCAAAACGACGTTTGCCCGGTCAGCTAGTATTAATATAATAATTAAGTTTTTTTTGTTTAAGAGCAGAGTTTGCGGGCCTAGTGGCTAGGCGCGCGATCTTAACGTTTCCTCGCTGATGCGGAAGGAGCCAGGTGCGTTAGAACCAAAAATTTGATCCAGAAGGCTGGTTAGGTAAGAAGTGCTCAAGAAACAGATACAGGAATCTGACGCCAAGTTTGGAGCTACGGGTTTTTTTTATTAGACTGGTTTGTCTTTCGTAAAAAATTTTCAAGACAGTCGATATTGAAAATGGTTCAATAATCACAATATAAATCTATGAAAAATAAGCAGTTTTTAGTTTGAAAAATGTGCCTCAAGGAAAATTAAATATAAATGTCAACGCGTTGAATAAGGATAACTTACACGTTTTCCTTTATCGCTGAAACTATTTCTTATAGTAAGTATAACACTTAAGTATGTTTGCAAATAATTTTATTTTTAAGACGTACAGGGTAAGTATGGAATTTTATTTATCGGCCCTTTAGTCGAAATTTTTTTTATAGTATGGTTAAGTCGAAAGAATGTATTTATACCGGACCAGACATTTCGCTAAAGAAATAACAAAGATCATGACCTGGTTTCACTTCATTGTGATTGGTCAAATCATCGTATCGGTCTATGAGTCACACAATCGCAATCCTGATTACTTCTTTTACATAAAAATAAACAAACGAATTGAAAGATTTCAATTACAATTTCAAAGGAAAGACAATACTGGCAGAAAATTTGCATAAAACGCGTAAAACGCTTGAGGAAAACGAATGTTTAGCACGTATGTATGACGTCGGTTATCATTAACAACTAATAAAATGAACTGATTTCAAACGAAACAGATGTAAATTAAAATTAACTGCTTTAAGATAAGCGTAATGTTGACTTTCACGTAAGGCACAAAGGCTAATATAATTCTTCAATCACATTTTCCTTTAGTTCTTAATATGTGCTACATACAATTTATCGTAATGTATATAGACGTATCAGTCATTATGAGTGATAGGAAATTTGCTATTATAGATATATTTGAAATAAGCATTTTGGACCGTGGTATCAAGTGCACAGACGCATATCAAATATTTAGATTGGCGCCTGGTACACCGGTGACCCCAGAGCTGGTGCTTTCCTCGCTCATCGAATAAGTATCGCAATTCAGCGAGGAAATGGCATTAAAGGCACAGCCACAGGGACCAAACTTTTTTAATTTGTTTTAGTTTTATCATTTTTTAATTTATAAAAAAAATATTACTATTGTTACTATGTAGATTGTAGGTAAAGAATATTGTTTATGTGATATGTTTAATAGATATGTATTCGAGAATTTGCTTGCGTAAATTGGCTGACGTAGCCGCAACAGAAACATTGCGTTTTCTCAAAATTTTACTGATGTTTGAGATCTAATAATGAAGGCTGCATATTGCTTTCACCTCAGTACACATATAAATAAAACAATATTTAACGTATAAAAAAATGTTTAAGTTAAAGTATATTAGATAGCCTAAGTAAGCAACATAAAAAGTAAGTTAAAGAACTATTTTAATATGCATTTGTCGCGCTCCTAAACAAGTCTGCTACTGTTAATGACGCTTCGATTTCAAAAAAGTTTTGCAACTTTTCGTGAGCGCACTTCCACTTTAGAAACATGACGCGACATGATAAAAACTTTAATGTGACGGTGACAAAAGTAGCTCGTGCGCCCGTAAGCCTTCTGCCTTGCATTAAGACCTACAACGCACTAGCGGCTGGCCGCAATGCGGTGTGCCGCTGCGGCGGGCCGCACATCGATTATTATATGAAACCGCACGATAACAACGCACTGACTTGCGGTCAACCGTCAACCGCTCCGGTTGATCTGGAGCTCCGGCGAGCCGCACCGGTTGAATGATGCGGCGCGCCGCGTCCCCTCCACGCACTCGGCGCGGTTAGCCGTCCTACCTACGTCATCACATATAATTATTTAACAAATGTAAACAAAATATTGTAAACCTATTTTAAAAGAGTAAAAAATAAAAAAATAAAATATGTTTATTATGGAACATAAGATACATGTATCACTTATTCCACGTCATTAAATTTGAATTTGTAATATTTCAAGAAGCACTGACGAGTGACGATTGCGGCAGACCGCAATAGGACCGCAATAGGGACGGTTAGCCGGAATACGGCAGGCCGCTACGGCGGACCGTATATACCGCGGCCAGCCGCTAGTACGTTGTAGGCCTAATACAAACAGTGGTTTTCAAATGTACCATACCAGGATTTAGATTATATTATTCTGTAAAATAAATAAAAAAAAGACAAAGTGATACTTGGTATTTATATTTATGAATAGTATAGATTATTAGCCAATAATCTACATAATAGTTTATAAATTAAAAATAATTAATTATTATCTCTTGATTAATTACTTTTAATCGTACAGAGATACCTGAACTGATATTATTTTGTATGTATTGAAAAACTTGAAATTTTTTCTTGGATCTATTATGCAAATCGTAGTTCCTAGTAGTCACCCATAGTCTGACTCGGACTTAAAAAAGACAATTTAAAAGGTCGTAAAACGTTTATTTATTAGTATATATAGTAATAAAGTTATATTTATTATCAAAATAACAAATGCACGTGTGCAAACGCCCCTGTACCAGTTGCTGACATCTCCTCCTTATCAATCCATTACAATATAATTGCGTTGGCGCAGGAAAAACCTTTTTATCTCAGTAAATAAACCTAAAACGATTATTGCGATAAAAGGTGGGGATATTCCCGTAGATAGATATGGGGCAGATTCAGAGTCACATTTTTGGTCTGATTCATTTAGGGTAAGATTCAGGGATAGCCGTTTGACTTCCGTATATCAAATCCATTACGTTTTTGACACGCAGGAGTATTACTTAGCGCTAAGTAATAGGCAATCGGCCTTCTGTGCCTTACATACGCCGTTGTAGTTTGGTCATACTTAGCGCCTCTCATAAGTCTCGACTCTGAACCTTACCCTTGGTTTAATAAGGCAAGCCTTTAAATCACTTTATTAATAGTCAATAATATAATATATTCCGTCTTATTCTGACACTGTTTTAACCGAAAAACCTATCTCCAAGGGCGAAACCAGGGTCAGGGTGTCGCTTCATCACAAATATTTAATTGATGTTCTTTCAAAACAGTTTTTTCATATTTGATATTTACAGATAGAAGGATACCTGGCCGCCGACGCACGTCTTGGTTGAAAAACTTAAGACAATGGTTTGTTCAAAGCACCAAGTCATTGTTTAGAAACGCGGCATGCAAAATTAAACTAGCCATGATGATCGCCAACCTTCGCAAGGAGATGGAACTATTAGAAAACCCTCAAAGACCTATTGTAAAAAGTGCCTTAATTCCAAAGTGACGTCGGTAATAAAAAAATATACAAAATTTCCATATCGTCACAAACATCTATTTTTATCTCTACGTGGCGCACACGCCTATTTACAGACCAATCAACCGAGGTTGTTGACGTAGTCGATAAGGCTTAAGAATTTTTCGTATTTTGCGCAGTAAGTTTTGTATGCAAAATCTTCTTAAGAAGGAAACCAAATCAAAAAGCACCTGCCAAAGAACACGGAAGTATAAAGGACTACTCTTTCTGCTAGTCAGACGTCAGAGTTAGATAACCACCAAAAAGCCGCGGGTTTTTCAGTATAGGGCCAATTTAATAGATCATATTTGACAGCCCATCAAAAGTCAGTAATGTATCATTGTAACTAATAATAAAACGTAGTTAGAACAGCACAATTCCTTAACTTTCTAAAATTCCCATTAGATATTTATAATAACAATAGTAGAAGGTAATATTAATACTAAATTTCTGTTCTAAAGAGATCTGAACATCGTTACCATGTTGCGTCAGGAAAGCTAAAACTGACAAATGCCAAACGTGATTGTCTAGTAAGTTGTCCGTACATCGCAGGGAACATCAGCAGTTGTGTATGATGTAACCGTAACATAATTTAAAATGAAGTCCTTGATTTGATTTAAAAAAAGAAGTGGAAATATATAATAACCAAAACGTATTTCATTACGCAAACCTAGTTCCAAATTTCTTGTCATAACGTTTCCCGTGAACTACAATAAAGGCCAACAAATTATCGCTACTATTCACATTCATGCTCACTATGGCAACTTCGTGATAATTATATTAGTACGTATTGATGTATAATAATGCTTACATTAAGCTGTATTTCTTGTAAATGTTTATAAGACATTTGACGTCACAAACGACAATTATGTTGGAACCGCTATGTGTGACCGTTTCAAAATTAAAAATATAAGAAAAATATGTTCCGATTTAACTACAGAAGCGTGCAGTCGATTTCAATAGATTTATGAAAGTATATATTCTCAAAAGGTATAGTCTGCTGCCTGTGGAAAGAAAGTTGTGGCTTGACATTTAATAAGAGGAAATGAAGAGTTTATAATTTTTGTCAATAAATCTAATGACGTGAAGGAAATAAGTGTATTAGTTTCCATAACTACGACGTCCCAGGATTGATGAAATTTATATCCCGATTGCTCTATGTAGTATGACTGCAGAGATATACGGACATAAGCGAGTACTGTTATATAATTAATTGGCATTACTACTTCAGCTATCAAT